AGATCTGCCCTGCCTGACCCTCCCAGTCATAGTGAGCAAGTGGGCAGTGATGCTTCTCCTATTTCCTTCCAGTGTACCCTCATTTACTGCCCATCTGCAGTGGACTCCCCTGAGACTTTTGCATGGGTTGGGGAGCCCATTGCAGGTAGGGCCCTGCTGGCAACTAGAATTTTCCATGGACCCTCTTTACCTGATTTCCTCCAGGCAGGAGCTGGGGACCTGGAGTCATAAGTCACAACCTTCCACAGTGGGCAGCTGCCCTCCCCCTTGGGCCAATCCTTTTGATGGAGGCAAATCCAGATGGGAGAGGTCAACAGAAACAGGCAGATGTAGTTTGTGAGGGGAGGGCCATCTCTCTCTTTAGAGGGCAGGGAGGGGATATGGCACATGTCTGCTCAAGGACCAGTCCCCCTACCCAAACAGCTCACCAGGAGGCAGCCCACAGCCCCTCCATGCAGGAGACAGCCAGACGTGAGGCATGGGTGAGTGTCATCAACATGAGTCCCCCAATTCTTTGAGAATTAAGTGGCCTCTTGGTAATAGTCCAGGCAGCCTCTCAGATGATCTGCCATCCTGTCTTGGCCTCCAGCTTGGCTCCAGGGCCCTCCCAGGGTATCAGGGTCAGCTGTCTGGCCATCTGCTTGACCATAGAGCCAGGAGCCATGCTGGGGCAATTGGCCAGCCCTTTCATGCCAGCAGCCGTGACTGTGGTCAGAGCTCCTGGGGGAGCCCTGGTCATTCCCTGTCTTTAAAGTGGTCTGGGCTTCCTCCACTGAGAATCCATGTCCCCCAGGAGTGGGTTTGGTGCCAGTTTGTATATCTCCTGCTGCCAAGTGCCCCACACTACCCTGGTGGGCTGAGATGCTCCCACTGTCCAGAGGCTCTGCCTGCCTCCCACCAGGCCCAGGGGCAGAGTAGGGTGGCTGGCAGCACCAGGGTCCACCCTGCCACACAGGTCCTGTCTCCTCCCACAGGGGCTGTGTGTTCTGAGCTGGGAATGTCCCTGAGGCGTCACTCCCTATAGGTTACTGTCCCTCACAGAAGGAGAAACAGGGTCAGGTGTCCCTGCCTGTCCCTATGTTTGGCTGACTCAGCATAGCCAGATTGGTGACATCACCATACCCACAGGTTCTCAGGCCCTTCCTGGACAGCTATCCACTCACCCCTGCCCCAAGGAAGGTGCATCTAGGTGGGGTAGCCCTCCACCCCTTGGATATGGAGCTGTTTCCCAGTGGTGAGCCAGCTGGCTGGGAAGTGTGGCATCCTCCGGGCAGCCTTGCTGATGCCCACCTCACAGGGAGAAGTCAGCCGTTACTTCATGATCCTGTGGAAGCCAGCAGGCCCAGGCAGTAGTTGAGAGGGGCAGCCCTAAGGGAAGTACCACCTGGCTCCCCTCTATCCACCACGTCCCCAGGCAGGTTTCCTTGTAGGTATCTGGTAACCATTTCCATCCTGGGCAAGAAGTTTCTACCACTGGTGTGGGTTCTGCTCCTGGGTACAGGTGCGGGGGGGCATGTGGCTTTCATTCTGCCCCCTCCCACCTGGCCCAGGGGAGTCTTCAACCATGGCCTGCTGAGATCCTGATGCCACCCTGAACCCTCCTTGCTCAGCCTGAGCTGGCTTTGCATGTGGGCATGATGTCCCACTACATCCTGGTCAGTCATCTTGCTTCTTGGCTTCTGTCTTTCTCCTGGGCAGATCCAAAGAGAAAACCACCTGCTGCCCACCAGCTCCACGTGGACAGCCCATGGCGCTGGCCTCATCAAGGCCTCCTTTGAGCAGAAACTCATCACCAAGAAGGGAAGCCTGTCTTAGTGGGTGACCAGGGCTCCCACTGGACCAAGGCCATGGAGTTGGCCCCAGCCAGTTTTAGGGCATTGGAGATGTCTGGCCCTGCCCTACTGGGGCACTCCCAGCCCTTTTCCATTGGTGCAGTCCTGGTGGCCTGTCAAGCAGCAGGTCAGCCCTCAGTGGACCCTCTCCACTTCTGTGGGATAGAGATTGCTTAGACCCCGCTTGGCTAGGAAGGGTTGGGGCCGCCATTTCAGCTGGTATGTGGACTTGCAGCCCAGAGCCGTGCTCCTGCTACAGGCTCCGCCACGGGAGGCCCAGGACTCTGCTGTGGATCTGGTCCTGGGTTGGTGGTCCACTGCCCCAGGCTCGTTTCCTTGTCTTCTGTCTGCCTGCAGACCGTGGAAGAATCCCCAAGCTCCGGGCTGAGCCCTCTGTCCATGGTCCTGCCTTCCCTTCCTGCAGAGCTTTCTCCAGTAGTTCCATAAGCTGGTCTCCATGGAGATACCCAGGTCATGGGGGGCCCAAGCATGTCTTTCTCCCTGGATATGTAGGGTGCCTCTTTGTCCCTGGTGATCGCTGAGGGCCGCTGGCCTGTCTAGATAGGTTTTCTGGGAATAAGATCGGTTTGACACTCCTCACCCTTTGAATGCAAGGTCTGTAACTTAGGGAGAGTGTAATCCAAGTGCATAACTTCCCCGTTTAGAAGTGTGCAGTTTTGGGGTGCTCAGTCCATCCCAGGGCTGTGCAACCCCCACCACCATCCAGTTCCTGAAGGCTTCCTCACCCCAGCCTGCCACTCTCTAGCCTGTATCCTGTCCCTGTGGGCTGGCCTGTTTCGGACATTGCCCACCAGTGGACTGAACATGTGGCTGAGGCCTTTGGTCGTAGTTTAGGGAAATGCTCAACCCTCACTTCTTTTGTGTTTGAGTTGGGCCATGCTGTGTTGCTGAGGCTGGCCTCTGACTCCTGGGCTCCAGCAGTCCTCCTACCTCAGCCTCTCGAGTACTGGGTCCCTCTGTACCCAGCTTGCTTCTTAGATATCTACTGTCCCTTTACTCTTCCCTTCCTGTGGGCTCCCAGTGATGCCCATCACAGTTCCTCACCCCTGTCCTCTGGGCGTCTTTTCCCTCTGCCTTTTTTGCGTCCTCCATCCATCCGCTCCTTCCTTCCAGGCAGGCCTTTCACCCAGCAGGCCTGGCTCCCCACCCCCCTCGCTGTGGCCAGGCCAGCACCTGTTGCCTCCCAAAGGCATGTGTGCCCCTTTCTGTTCCTCTTAGGAGCCTGGCCCGTCATGTGGGGCTCATCTTCCATGCTGACCATGCTCTTCAGGGGTCTCATGTGAACAAGACCCCAAGCCCAGACCTGGCTTATGCAGTGTTGGGGCAGGGGTGCCCTGGCTCAAGAACCACAAGTCTGAGTCTGGGTGGCCCCTGCTCCAGGCATCTTCCTGCAGCCCTCTTGGAGTGTCTTTCTACTGTGACCTCCTGATAGGAGGAACCTAGTGCTCCCAGGGGTCCTGGCTGCCCACTCATCTCCTCCAGGGGGTAGCAGATCTTGCAAAGGTGGCCACAGAGGCCCCCAAGAGGAGCAGTATGTGGCCACAGCTCTGCACAGGCATGACAGCCACCTGTCCTTCAGTGACCCCACACATCCCAGATTCCTCCCTCTGAGCCATCTAGGAGACATAGATCAAAGGCAGTCAGCTGCATCAGCGCTTTCGTGGTATTGTAATTAAGGGGGTGGGGGCAGAAATGAGGCAGGCAGAGCTGTGTGCTGGGCCCAGGCCGCGCCTGCTACAGCTCATGGGAGCAGACCCCTCAAACCCCTCAACTCCCCAGGCACCCCATCCCCACAGTGGCTGCTAGACATTGTCAGGGCCTGAACTAGAGGGGGATTCCAGAAAGGGTCAGTGAGAAGCAGAAAGGCCCGGTGTTGCACAGACTGAGTAAAAAGTGCCCACAGGTGCAGTGGCACATGCACCAGTCGTCCTGGCTACTCAGGAGGCTGGGGCAGGAGGACCACAAGTTCAAGAGCTGCAGGTATAACCCAGTGGTGAAGCACTCTGGGCTCAGTCCTCAGGCCACAGATAAACAACAGTGAGTGTCCACAGCCATGGTGCAGGGCTGCTTGTGCCACCAGGCAGGATGGCCTTCTGGAGGAAGGGGGAGCTCTGGCTACAGGCACTTGGAGGAGGTTCAGTTTGGGTCTGGGAGGCTGTGGTATGTCACTGGTCTGGTCCCACCCATACTCTGTACCCACCCTTCCCAGTGTTTGTCCCATGTCTTGCTGGGGCCTGGGAGTGGCTTCTAAGCCACACCCTGCCAGGCTCTGGCATTCAGAGCACTGCTGCACAAGATGACAGCTCCTGTGGTCTGGAAGAGTCCCTGGAGGCTAGCAAGCCTCCAACCTGCTCAGGACTACAGCCTCCCCGTCGGAGCCTCAGGGTCACAAGGCAGCCCCTGTGCTGGCGAACCCCAGATCCTGCAGATGTCCGCTCCCCATAGCCCAAGGCATGGGCTCCTCCCTCGGCTGCAGCCCAGGGAGGTGCCCTGTGCACTGTGTCCTCACACGGCAAGCACTGATCTTGCCATCTGGGCCAGAGAGGGTCCTCCTCCTGCACAGACTACCAACTTCAGAGGGACGAGAAGCTTCCAGAGCCATCTGTTCTGGTGCTGGTGGCCCACAGCCTTGTGGGGCGACCTGCCCTGTTTTGAAGGTGCAGTATGGGCTAGACCGCGACTTAGATCCTCCACCAGCTTCTAGAAGCCCTCATCCTGGCCCCACACCTCGGGAACAGCCTTCACAGTGTAGGTAGAGACACTGGTCTTCAAACCACTGGCTTCTGATGCTCTGAGGGCCTGCTTTCTCTGGATATGGGCAGCATTGTCCACAGTGTGGGCAGGCAGCAGAGGGAGGCCATCTCTGGAAGGCCTGAAACCACTGCCCACAGTCCCTCAGCCCTGGGGCTGCAGCTGAGTGGGACTGCCTGAGGCCCATCTGGCTGGTTGTCCCTCTCTTGAACAGGGTGCTGGAAGGCTCAGGGGTGACTTCTCTGAGGTGGCTCTGGAGCCAGTGGTGTTTCTTGAAATGTATGACTCATCTGCAGCAATCCTGTGGGTCTGGCCCAAGGTTGGCCTCCCGCAGAGCACTCTGACCTGGGAGCTGTGAGGCTGGCTGGCTCCTGCACCCACACCCTGTTCCTCCAGGTACATCCAGACGCTGAAGGACCACAGGCCCCGTATGGTGTGGGACAGCCAGGCTGCAGAGCACTTCTTCGAGTACAAGAAGTGAGTGGGGCATGTACTGCCAGCCTGGGGAGGGTAGAGTGGGAGAACAGTGGGGACCAGTGCCAGACTGCAAGTGACCACTTCCAGGAGTCTGTCCCTGACTTTACGGGTGTGGGGAATACAGGCCCACAGCCTCGGCTGGAGCCAGGGAGGTGGACAGTTCCTCTTGTCTTGCAGGAACCGTGGCGGAAGGCACGTCGTCTTCTACCCAACTTTAAAGGTATGTGCCAGGTGTGCTGGCTGCTGCCCAGGGAGGTGGGACAGAAGCTTTAGTCAGACACGGAGGATGCAGCAGTGCTAGCTCTTCCCACATGAGGGCCCTTGCCTGCAGTGCCAGCCTGCCCAGGAGCCCTGGAGCCCAGGAGCCCAGGAGCCCTGGAGCCCTGGAGCCCTGGAGCCCAGGCCACTCTCCCCTGTTGCCCCAGTGTGTGGGTGCAGAGCTAGGCGAGACCCACACCTGTCTGTACCCACAGTCCCTGCAGGTGCGGCTGGAGCTGGCCAGAGAGCTGGGTGTCGGGGTCTCCATCTGGGAGCTGGGCCAGGGCCTGGACTACTTCTACGACCTGCTGTAGACTGGGCAGCAGTTCCAAGGCAGCGTGGACTCTCTTAGTCACAGAGCGACTGGTTGAGTGAAATACAGGCCTCTGCCGCTTGCTGTGAGTGTCTGCTGTGATCCCTGTCCTGGCAGGAACTCTGGGACAAGAATCTGTCCCCTCCCACAGCCTGCTGTGGGCTCAGGGCTTGGGTCTCTCCAGCACTTCCCAGGCTTTGGGCTAGATGTGGATGTCCCACACTTGCCCCACAACTGCACTCGAGGCCTCTGTGGGGATGGCTCCCACAGGGCAGCAGTGAGAGCCTGCACCTCCACTGGTCACCTGACCAGGCACCTGCTACCTGCAGCATCCCCCCCCCCCCACTGAGCCTGGTGTGACTGGATGTGGGGCACCCCCCTGAAGCCCTGGCCCAGCTCTGCACTTGTCACAGTGGAGGGCAGCGAGACCTTCCGCGCCGAGTCTGGGTGGGCTCCATCACCCTGTGTGCATGTGGGAGCCACTGAGATGAGCACAGGGAGACACCTGTCCCCGTGAGCAGTGGAGTACCAGGGGTGGTGTGGAAACAGGGTGGGTCCCTGGGGCCACTGAGAATGGGGGTGGGTGGTGACAGTGAGCCACACCTGGTTCTGGTTTCTTTTTTCCTGTGCTGGGGACGGAGCCCAGAGCCAGAATAAGTAAAGTGGATGCTGTCCCAGAATTGACGGGGACTGGCAGAGGAGAGGGAGGCGAGTCAGTGGGAGCCAGTATAGCCAGGATGTGGAGATTGGTGGATCTGGAGCCAGGCAGTGACCAAGAACTGTCTGGTAGGGGTGTCCTTGGTTTGGGGGCAAGCACAATGGGCAGAGAGGGGTCCTATGTTGGACCCCAGGGCATGGCTGAGGCCTTGGGAAAAGGGAGGGTACCACACCCTGGTTTGTGCTGAAGACAGCTCTCACTTCCTCCCCAGGTGTGTGAACAGGTGGCTTTGGTGGCTAGCTGTGTCCAGATCTCCCAAGTCCTTGTTGGTTAGATTCCCTGAGGTCCTGTAGCTCCCACTGGAGGGAGGACAGTGGGATATGAGCAGTCACATAGAGCTGGGACATGGGGTGAGGGGGGTTGGTGTCAGCACTGCGAGTGGCCTGGGTGGTGGTCTTTCCTCCCAGGTCATGGCCAGAAGGTGGGTGACAGAGGATTGGGGGTTATGTAGGTGAGGGAGGGAGGGAGGGTGGGATCCCAGAAGGCAGTGCTGAGGGGCTAAGGAGTTATGGGAGTAGTTTAGGGGCTGGATGTTTTGCAGCAATGGAAGCTCCTTGGAGGAGCTCAGCCCCACCTTGAACTCCAGGCCATCCTCCCTGCAGCCAGGGGTTCCTTCTCACCCCATTAGAGGGATATTTGGCCTGGAGGTGGTTTGAAACATTTTGACCATTTTTCTAACTCCATGCCCTTTGACAATGGCTGTCTTTCCATCAACCCACTTCATTTGCAAAACTCATGTAAGCTTAATCCTGGAAGTCAGAGTTCTGGACAAAATAGAACAGGCTGGGCAGGTGGGGATGTGCCACCCCTGCCCCGGCCCCGCCCCACGCCTCCTGAGCTAATGCTGAGCTTCCCTGGTGTTGGCTTGTGGCTGCCCATCCTGCAGGCGTCCAGGGAGACACGGGCTGCTCACGCACTTTATTAGGATGCACCTGGAGCTGCAGCCCCTCAGAAATGGATGATGGGGGCCCAGCCTGTCTGGAGCACCAGGACCTGTGCAGGGTCTCCAAGGGGTCAGACCTACTCCCCCATTGTCCTCGGGCAAAGGGGACCATGGCCCGGCACCCCCCATCCCATGTGAACACTGCTCTGGAAGATATAAAAAAGTGTCAAAGCCCCTCCCATGTAGGCAGGAGACCCCATGGCTGCCCATGCCGAAGCATTCCAGGAATGGGGTCCTGGGGGTTCAGGGCACCAGCCTCTCCCCTGAGCCCAGCAGAGCACCAAGTCCTGCGATGTGTGGGGCAGGTTTGGATACAGCCCTGTCCCTGGTGGGTGGTGTCCTTTGGCAGAGAAGCAGGGTGGCCCGTGGTCTAAGCGCAGTAGGTGTCCGCCTTTACCACTTGGCAGTACATGGTCATGGCGAAGGTCAGGCCCAAAATCTAGGGACAGGAAGGAGATAGGCAGGGCTGCTGAAGGGAGCCACAGACCTCTGCTGCCAGGTGCAGCCGGCCCTCCCTGACCTGCTGCAGCAGTGCCTCCTGCACAGCACCTGCTTACCAGCTGTGAGGCCCCAGAGACACATTTCTTGTAGAGTTTCAGCCACGTGGCCCCCATCAGCACTCAAGGACGGTGTCCTGCAGCTTGGGTCACATGACCCTCCCTGCTTGGCCCAAGGCCCCTGCAGCTTGCTCACTGTGCCTCAGCCTAGCTGTGTCTACCCCTGTGTGTGTCACCCAGGCTGGGTGGGCTGCCCTGGTGGCAGGTCTGACCTCATTCTGGAGCACTCTGGTGCTGATGCTCAGGGCTCCCACCTGGACTGGGAGCTGGGGCCACAGGCATCAGGATGCATCTTGTACTGGGCAGTCCTACGACTGCCAGCCTGGGGCTGCAGGAACCACGCTGCCTCCCCTGCTAGGAGACCAGTGCTGGCAGCACCCGATCTGAAACACCACAGGTCACCTCCCCCATTGTCACCCCTGACCATGCTCTGTGAACCCACATCTGCCCATGACACCTAGAGTCCGCACCTGAAACTTGGGCCACCCCAATCCCAAGCCCTCCCAGGGCAAGGCCATTGCTGCTTTTCCCTGGGCTCAAAAGCCCCCCCAGGCCCTGCCCGGCGCACCTGCACCAGTGCCGTGCACAGCCCAAAGATGCCCACAGCCAGCAGATTCTCCTGGAGCCAGGCCTTCACCGTCTCATAGCAGGGCTGTGGGAGAGTGGAGTCAGCCAGGCCTTGCCTGTCCCATCCCCAGACCCCAGAGGGTGGACTGCACTCACCGCCTTCCACCAGGTGCCAGGCGCATGCAGCCCACAGCTGTCACTGAACTCCAGGCAGCAGGAGTCAGGCACACGGGTGGCATTGTAGACCTCAAACCAGTCCGTGTAGTTGGAGACACCACAGCAGCGGAACTGGGAAAGCAGTGTGTTGGGGCTGGCCAGAGAGGCAAGGGCAGGCAGGGGGCACCACTCCAGCCCTTGCCCCGCCCCCCACTCCCCCAGCCATGCCTCACATCAGTCTGAATGATGCTCCAGGCGTTGGTGAGGCCCACGTTGCCCTGTGTGCCATACAGATGCAGGCCCTTCTTTAGGTCTTGCTGGGCGTACCTGTCAATCTGGGAGTGCAGTGGGGTCAACAGCACTCTCTAGTGGGTGCCTTCCAGCTCCACTGCCTCCCTCAGCCAGACCTGCCCTGCCCTTGTCCTGCTCTCACTTCCTGGAGCCCACCCCATCGTGCCCAAGGATACAGCTCCCAGCCTTATGTCCTTCTGGAAGCCCTCAAGGGCCCCAGGGCCTCAACCCCAGGCTGGCAGGGCCTTGAAGGGCCTGGGATAGAGCACAGGCTGAGTGGAGGCATATACGTCCACTTAGTACAGACAGGTTTGTCTGCTCTGCAGCTGACAGCCTGGCTACTATGCCCAGGTCTTGACTTCAAGGTCATTCTCTGGTGAAGGAGCCAGAGCCCCTGGGGAAGCAGAGAGCCCAGGGCCGGCTGGGGTAGACACAGTAGGCCCTGAGCATCCTGTAGTGCCAGAGTCGGGGAGGTCTCCACAGAGAAGCCTGTGCTGGGGGTCAGAGGGACACCGAAGCTAGGACCACAACCCTGGGTATCAGCCCCTCCTGCTAGAAGTGGGTAGCCAGGCACAGTGGCCACACTTGTAATTCCAGTGACTCAAGAGGCTGAGGCGGGAGGATTGCAAGTTCAAAGCCAGCCTCAGCAGCTTGTTGAGACTGTCTCCAAGTAGAAAGGGCTGGGGGCGCAGCTCAGTGGTAAAGCACCTGTGGGGTCATTCCCCAGTACCACAACAAATAGCAGCAGCAAGTGGGAAGAAAACAAGCCACAGCTGGGGACAGTGGCAACGACACCATGTGACCCAACACTCAAAGCATGCACTCGCCAGAGGTTGTCCAGCAGCCTGGCCAAGAGTGGGCAGTGCTGCTCTGCCACCTGAATGACCATGGCCCCCCCAGGGGGCCACTGTGCCTCAGGAGAGTCCCCACCAGCCTGTGCTGCTGCCTGGACTGCAGCCGTACCTGGTCAGTGTAGGCGAAGAAGAGCACAGCAATGGTGGCCTCCAGCAGGAACACCAGCAGCAGCAGCAGGAAGAACTGCAGAGGGTGGGAGCAGGGCCTCAGCCCCAACCTGCCTCAGAGCCCCGGATCAGCGCCCTCCACCTCCACCCTCAGCCGCTCTGGACACCTCAAGTGGGAGAAGCCCGGTTCGCTAGGCTCTGGCCCTCGCTGCCTCTGGGATGTCCTCACGGGGACATGAAATAGGTCCAAACCCACTTACTCATCTGGGACTTTATGGGGCCCATGAGTGTTCCTGCCCCCTCCCCGGGGCGGGGCACAGAGGGAGTGAGTCAAAGACCTGAGCAGGCCCTACCCAGGAAACCCCGAGACTCAGGACGCCCCCTAGCCCTGCTGGAGGACCCAGCTGGTGTGGTAAGGCGCCTCCCCCGGAGCTCACTTTCCCAGGCCAGGAAGCGTCCCTCCGGGAACACTGTAAGGCCAAGGTGAGGGTCTTCCTGAAGGCAGGCAGGTCCAGGCCCAACAGAGCTGCACGTGTAGCAGGGCGTGCCCAAGTCCTGTTGACAGGCCACTGCACTCCCCCACATTCTGAGAGCACCCCACAGCCCCTCAGGCCAGGACAGAGGTGGAGCTGGCCGAGACCGCACAGCCCCAGGACCAGGCACACTCACGGTGAGCAGCAGGCACTTGTTCTCCTTGAGGGCCCCAATGCAGCCCACAAAGCCGATGGCCATGACGAAGGTGCCTGTGACGATGAGCAGGTTGGCAGCTGACAGCGACGGAAAGGAGGAGGACAGGGTGGCGAAGTTCCCCTGTGTAGCAGCCAGCCAGATGCCAACACCCAGGACGCCACAGCCTCCCAGCTGGGGCCGCAGTACCGAGGAAGAGAAACAGGATGAGGCCACCCCCAGGGAGCTCCTACCCCGACCCTCACCAGCCCCACTGGCCTCCAGGGTCAGATACTCCCAGCACCCCCACTCCTGCTGCCTGCAAGAAGCACCCGGCTTGTCCCTTCTGCTGTCCTGCAGGTCCACCCACACCAAAGCCTAGTGCCCACCACAGGGAGGCCAGGACAGGCAGGTCCACCCCTCTGGACCACATGAGGTGGTCAGGCTTTTCAGTGGCTGGTCCTCAGGATTCCAGACACCAGGCCCTATGTCGCCACCTTCCCTGGATCTCAGGTGTCTGTCTGTGCCCTGCACCCCAAGAAGGGAAAACCTGGCTCCTGGTGCATCTGCTCATGATGAGGTCATGGTTCCTCACTGCCACCTGGACCTCATCCCCTCCCTGGATTCAAGAGCTGCTGACCCCTGAGACTGGAAGTAGGAGGGTCTCGCCTCTGCACAACCACCTGGACCTCATCCCCTCCCTGGATTCAAGAAAGGGACTCTGAATTCCCTCATTGCCCATCATCACGAGAATCAATAAAGTAAGAGCAAGCATGGTGGTGGCCTGCAATGGTGACCAACAGGGTCTCAGGAGCAGGGTTGGGAGCTGGGAACCACAGCTCAGCCCTTGTCCCCACTGAGGTCTTGGGTTCTGGTGGTTTGGGATAAAAGCAGAGAATGTGTGCAAGGTGGTGTGTGGGCAGGGAGGCACCACCAGCTACTAGGCTCTGGGACTGCCACAGCCACTCCTGGGATGGAGCTACTGGAGACCCGCATACGCCACAGGGCAGGCTCGAACCCAGATGTGCACAGCTCCATGGAGACGCAGCATCCACCCAGGGCCACAGGGACCTCACCACCCCACAAAAGGCTCCTGAGCCCTGATGGCCAAAGAAACGGAGCCCGGGCCCTGCAGGAGACAGAACCCTGCCCCAAGAGGCCTGGGTGCAGGGAGATGCCACCCATCCCCACTTGCACACTGGACCCTCCTGATTCAGACTTCAGCCCAGGTGGCAGGGTCAAGGGCAGGGCTGGCAGCCACTGCTCCCTCAGTACTAGCTGGCCAAGACACGTGATGCACTTCCTGGTCAAGCCCAGCTGGCAGGAGCCTGCAACAAAGTCGGGGCATGAAGCTCTTGCCCAGGCCTCTCACTGGTGTCTCGGGCCCCTCTGGGTCAAACCCCGGGAGACGGGACAGTCCCCTGCTGAGCACCCATGACCTTGCCTGTCCAATCTTTCCGGGGTGAGTGCAGCCATTTTCTCTGCCCTGTAATTCCTGCTAAAAACCAACACTTGCACTTGGCATTCAGCAACAGAACATCTAGATGCTGTGAACTCAGCCTGACCTGGGAGCTGCTGACCCCTGAGACTGGTCACTGTGCTCGTGGGACTCTCCCAGGCCAGGCCAGGGCAAGCGTAGGAAAAGCATGGGTCCCTATGTTCTGGACCCAGGGAGGGGGCTGTTGTGGACCTGGCAGAAGGCTCAGATGGCTCCTGAGCAAACCTGGCCAGGGGCTGCCACAGAGGAGACCCTGGCGAATGGAGAAGGGTGCATGTGCCTCAGGTGGCACGAATGTCCCCTTGCTGTGGGACCAAGTTCTGCCATGGCATGGAGGAAAGCCCTCCACCCCCAGGCACCAGCAGCTGGGAGTGGGGTGCCATCCGTGGTGCTGAACAAGCAAGGCAAGGGGTGGCGGCTGGATGCTGCGCAGGTGGGTACTGCTGTTTTCTGGGGGTGGGGGAGGCCTGGCCAGGCACCTGCTCACCTCCTACTCCTCCTGACCATGTCCCCTGCATCATGCCCCAAACACAAAGCTTCCACGAGCCATGACAGACAGGGTCCCTGGTGTGCCCTAGGCCATGTTCGTGGCCTAAAGCAGTCCCCAGGCCTGGTGGGTCTTCCAGGACCCAGTTGGGTAACGAGGCAAACAGGCACCTGAGCTGCTGTGCAGGAACACCGGGGGGAGACACACCCGGCCTTGTCCAGCACTGCCCTAGCAGGGCCAGGGAGGTTGGAGGGCAGGGCTCCCCAAGGCCCGCTGGGTCTGCGTGGAGGAGCCTGGACACCATAGGGAAGGAAGAGGCAGGCCCTAGGGTCAGGCCCACCCACAGGGCTGACCCCAGGCCTGGTGCCTGGCTCAGTGCAGCCTTGGCTGTGGCCAGTCACACCGGGAGGGCCGCACCTTGGGGCTGAGGACCCAGGCCAGTGATGGGCAATCCCTGAGCAGAGGGGAGGTACATGTCATTCAAAGCCCCACTGCCTGCACCATCCACCTCTGCCTTTCAAGGGCGGCAGACAACGTGTGTCAGCAGGAAAGCAAGCTGCTGGGGCAGCCCTGGCACGGGACACACAGGTCATGGGTTGGACACCACCGTGGAGAAGGGCTGGCCCCAAGGAGGAGTGCCCATTCCAGGAGGTGGGCCAGTCCCCAGGACAGCCTGGGCAGGTCGGGACCCTACACCTCAGCCCCACCCTCAGATGGGAACCGAGCACTCCACAGACACCTTGCCCACCTACTTGGCCACTGCCCACACTGACAGGCGACACCAGCCCACACCACCAGACACTCTTCACACCACACGGCAGTACACACACATGGTCACATGATACTACACCCTGAAGCCCACTGTCCCCTGGGGCCCACCCCTCCCACAAACAGCAGGCATGGGCACACAGACGGAATCCTGCACAGGCAAGGAAAGTCACCGAACCTGTCACTTCAAAAGTGTTTCTGCACATGCAGCTTTTGAAACATTTGGGCAGGAAGACTACAGCCTTGGGCTGGGGTTGTGGCTCAGTGGTAGAGCACTTGATTAGCATGTGTGAGGCCCTGGGTTCAGTTCTCAGCATCACATATAAATAAACAATAAATGTTCATCAACAACTAATAAAAAAATTAAAATTTTTGCTTAAAAAAAAAATTACAGCCTCGTAGTACAGGAGAAATGGGCTCATTAGCCTCAGAGACAGACGCAAAAGACAGAGCTCAAGGGCTGGGAGGCTGGAGTGGTCGTCTCCGGGGTCAGACGTGGGGGGCTGGGACCTCCCGCTCCAGCACTCCTTCTCCAGCCCCCAGAGACAGACTGCCTCTCACTGTGGGCGGGAGGCAGGACCCCTAGACAGCCTGGGGGAGGGGCCAGGCATCCTGGGGGACGGCAGCTGAGGAGACACAAAGGAGAGGGGCTTCCTGCCGTCCATGTCCCCAGCCCAGCTTTGAGAAGAGATCACTGGATCTAGTAACAGACTTCATTTGGTGATCTTGTCATAAGCAGTTTCAGAGAGATCTGAAGACTGGAAGTCAAACAGGGGTACGCAGAGATGCTGCACACGACCGACTTCTGGGTGCTATCTGTGCAGCTTACCTGGCCCCTGAGCTCTGCTGACTACTGATACCCATGGCAGCCCCTGGCTTCATGGAGGCTGGTAGTGCCTGGCATCCATCAAATGTGCCCTCTCCAGGTCCACTGGGGCTGGTGCCAGCCAGCCTTCCACCCACCACCCCTCCGGCCACAAAGCACAGTGTAGCAGATGGACAAGCAGCTGGCCACGTCCTGGGAACAGGGTGGAGGGCTAGGTCCCTGCAGAAGCCCCTCTCCTGCCAGGTTGGCAGAAACATGACTGGTCTTGGCTGGGAGGTTGGCCACCAGGTAGAGTGAGTTCTCTTACTTAAACTTGGATGTAATTTGTCCACTCCCAAGACCTGCCCACCCAGCAGAGCACCAGCCTAGAACCCACAGCTGGGCAGGCGACCCCCACCCTGCCACAGCAGCCCATCAGGGAGCCACCTGCTCTGCAGGGCAGGCAGGACTGCGGTTTCCCCCTGGGGTGTGCTTTTCTGTCATCCCCGCTACTGGCTGACACAGGCAGTAAACGGAGGGCTCCCTCAGTGTCCTGGCTCTGCCCTTTGCTGTCCCCTCCTCCATCAGACTCAGGACACCCTCCTCAAGGGCCAGCAACAGAGCCACTGTCAAACATCATCTCAGTTCACCAAGGGTGACAGAAAACCAAGGGCTAGGCAAGGCCTCTGCCTGGTGACTGGCAGGACCTTCCTTTAGATTCCAAGGCTACCACGGGGAGCAGCCCAGGCAAGACAGAGCCCAGAGAGGCCCAGGCCCCTCGCAGCAGAGATGGCAGGCAGAGCACATACCCTGCACCTCCTCCAACCTGGGGCCTCTGCCCACCTGGGGTCAGCACAGGCAATGGGCAGATGAGGGTCCTCCCACATCTCTGTTCTGGGGTCCTGATCCTACCTTAGGCACAGCCCCCAGGGGGTGCCGAGGAAGAAACTGATGCACCCAGCCAGGCAGGACTTGCTGAGGTCCTGGTGTCTGGGTAGTGGAGGCAGGCTGGCAGGTAGGGCTCTGACTCCTACTCTGGCCACCTAGATAGTCCCTGACCACAGCATGCAGGGAGCAGCTGGGGGCTTCTGCTGAGAAAGGCTGGGAAGGGCATAAGGAGGGAGGCCTCCTGAGCAGAGTGGGGAGGGGCCACTGTCTGGGAGAAAGCTGCGTGGCTGAGGTCCAGGCCAGCACCCGGCCCGTACAGCTAGGGAAGCATCCCCATCCTGCTGGCAGGCTCGGCCCCACTCAGACTGGCCACCGGGCTGGAGCAACTGCCCGTGGGCAGAGCCCCAAGTTAGGGCAGGGGTGGGGAGGGGCAGGAAGAGCTGGCTTTGCTGCTGCCCCACCCCTGGGGACCTGGAAGAGCTTTGTTGGCAGAGACCCAGCTGATGACACAGCCTCAGGCCTGAACACAGGGGTCCCCGGGGCCACCCCATCCCCACCCCTTCACCACCACTGGCACCACAGCCCACCCCACCTCGTTCATGGGCCCTGCACTCTCATTCTCCCACAGGATGGCCTGCCGGGGGACACCCCGGGTAAGGGACCCCGAGTCTAACCTGCCACTCCACTGTGCACATCTCAAAGGAGGGCTGGGCAAAGCCACTGCTACCCACAGAGCCAGTCGGCTGGAGGAGGCAGCTGCCAGGGGTGTCCCAGCAGGGGTCACGGGGTGGGTGCCCTCTGAACTCTGGTTGCAGGGTTAGCTCCAGCTGGGAGGTCAAGGAAGCCACGCAGAAGGGGAAGTCCTGTCAGCTGATCTCCCAATGTGAGTGGGAAATGGAGTGGGGGCAAAGTCCCTCCTACGGGCAACAAAGGGCACAGGGTCCCAGGTCAGGAATGAACCAGCCCCACCTCTCCCACCCACAGCCTGTCACCGCTCAGAAGGGGTTCAGGGAAAAGACAGGGTGGACATCACACCTGCCAGGACCAAGGCAGGAAGCTCCCCTAAGCCCAGCACCGTGTCTCCTGCACAGTCCTGCCTGTTCACAGCCCTGCGTACTCCCCTGTGGTGGCCTCCAACCCAGGACCCAGCCCCTGCTCCGGTCCCAGGCCTCAGACCTACTGGGCACCATTTGGGGAGAGGGTGGCAGGCAGGTGTGTGAGACTAGCTGCAAGGGACTTAGGTCTGAGGCTGGGGAGTATAATTGGGTAATAAAAGAGAATCAGATTTTCCAGCCTAGGGGTCCCCAGGGACCGCTGATTTCTTCTTTCCCAGGTGGAGGACATCATTTAGGGAACAGCAGAATGTGCCTGCTCTGTAGCTGTAGGGTGCATATAGGGTGCAAGGTCCCACAGGGGGGGCCCAGACTGCTCTCTGAGGCCCCCTTTGAGGCCCCCTTCATCTCTTCCCTGCAGACAGGTGTCCAGGTCAGGAAAGAGAGGGTAAGCAGATCCCCATCTCCTGCCCAGGTCCTGCCACTAGGTTGCCTGTCTCTTCACACCACCACCCACTCCCCTTCCCACTGCTGGAGACTTGCTGACCCTGCACTGACCACATTGGTGCCCACTGAAGCTGCCCAATCTTACCAGGAAGACATTTCCCCACACACCCACCCTGCCGCCCACTTCCTGGCCTACAGGGCACTGCTCAGCCTGAGGCCTGGGTCTTGCCCCTCCCAGAACTCTCTTGCAGAGGACAAACCCTTGAGGTGACCCCTTCTGGAGTTACTCCCCACAGGCAGCCCAGGATGGCTGCTCTTCTCTGTGACCCCCAGCCCCTGCCCCAAGCCAGGCCAGGCAAGAAGGTGGACCCAGGTTACAGCATGTGCCAGAACTGAACCACATGCACATGGCAGCACCTCCGAAGTCTGAGCTCAGCTGCGTCTCCTCACTCCTGACTCAGTGGTAAAAGGAGAGTCCGCACAGGAACTGAGGACAGAGCCTGGAATGACCTGGGGTGTCACTTCTCCACCAATCCTTCCCAGCCCAGCCAGTGAAGCCCCAGGCCCAGCTCAGGTAATGGGAGTCCCCCGCCCCCAGCTCCTCTGCGGGGTCTTGCCAAGCTTGCTCCAGAGCAGCCAGGTGTGGAACCTGCCGGGGCCCATCCTCCCTGGTGTGCTAGGCTGGAGGGGGTCACCCTCTGCTCCACCAGCAGGCAAGTCCCAACCCCTGCTGCCTCTCTGGCTTGTCAGCAATCCCCGTTGCACCTCTACAAGTTGGGGAGGCTGGGAGCCAGCGCCTGCCCAGCTCGCCCAGGAGTCCCTTAAGGTCCTGCGGCTCACTCAGGCCATGCACACTATTTCTGGGGCCCTCTGGGTGACTGGGGTCCACCTAGGCTTGGCAAAGTTTCCTCAGGGCAGTCCTGGGGAAGGAGTCCCAGGGTTAGCGCTACAGAAGAAGGGGGCGAGGCAAGGACGCAGGCTGTGGAAGCCCAGAGGCAGAGGGTAGGTGCCCGCGCAGTGCCCTGACCAGGACTGGAACCCCCACCCCAGCAGAGGCTCAGGGTCGGGAGGGCCCAGCCCCATCCGGCGTGCACGTGCGCAGCACATCCTGTCTCAGCAGGAGGGGCAGGCGGGCAGCCCAGGAAGGCAGAGGTCCAGCAGCCCCTGGCCCTCCCCAGGTCCTGGCCCCCAGCCCTCCGCGAGCAGCCACGCTGCCCGCGCACTCACCCAGAAGAGCAGGTTGAAGGCGAACATGAGGTACTTGACACCCTGGAGGCAGCCGCGCGCCATGCTGCAGCGCTTCAGCTCTAGGAGGAAGATGAAGGACAGGTCCAGGTAGAAGACCACGTACTTGTTGCCCTTGGGCGACGTGTGGCGGGCCTGAGCCGCCTTGGGGCCGGGGTTCGCGTGCACGCCGAAGAAGGGGCTGCCGCCCGCGTCCTCAGCGTCCCCGGTGCCCGCGCGCCCATACAGACTGCTGCAGCGCCGGAAGGGGCCGCCGCGCGTGAAGCCCGGCTCCTTGCCCTCCGGCGACGGGCTGCGCCGGTACGCGGACTCGTCCGTGCTCGAGCGGCGCATTGCGCGGGGGTGGCCAGGGCCACGGCCGCCAGGAGCACCGGCTCTGGCCGCAGTCAGCGCCTGGCGCTCGCGGTCCCGGGCCGCCCCATCCCGCCCTGGCCCGGTCCCCGCGGTGGCAGCGGGCGCGCAGCTCCGCGCTGCCCGACACCTGCCCGCCGCCGCGCCCCGCGCCGACCGCCAATCCGGCGCCGCCCCGCCCCGCCCTGCCGGCCAATCGCCTGGCCCGGGGCGCGCCCCCACCCTTGCGGGGTAAGGAAGAGGCCCACCCAGGCCAGAGGAGCCTTTGAGGGGGCAGATACTAAGCCCCGCAGCTCGTCCCCCAGCCCACGGCCCTGGCCCACCTCACCCCACACTGGCCCGCCACGAGACGGTGGCAGAGCAACCTCGACCCGTGCGAAGGATGTGCAAAGCTCTGTGCAAATTTAGGGGTGACCCCGTTGCTGTTGTGGCAACGTGGCTCCAGCTTTAGGTACCTTGGGGAGCCCTGGATGCCCCAGAGGGATTGCCTGAGAGGTTTACTCACTTAAAAGGAGGGACCAGACAGAGGAGCACAGGAGTGACCCCAAAGAAACCAGCAATTCTCCACAGACCCAGGGTGCTCAGGCTGGGTTCTTCCCCAGTCCGGTCTCCTAGACTTGGGGAGCAGGGCCTGCTTCACAAGCAACCAAACAGTGAATGTTGGTCTTGAGAATCCACTGATACCATCTGAAATTCTCTGTAATTTCTGAACAAGATGTCCTGAATTTCAGCCTGTAGCCAGAGACCCCACCCCTCCCAGGCACCAGCAAACAGGGGAATAGGCATGGATGACCATGCACTGGTGAGCACACACAAGTTCCAATAGCCCATCACATGCCCACAAAGGTGGAGGACAGATGTGGGCCCATGCACCACCCCATGTCTCTGCAACTCCAGCCGGCTTGGGCAGAGGCAGGGGGACCACAGCAGCCACAAATGTGCTCTGCACCCTGGGTTTAAGGCTGCAGCCAAGGCTTTCCCTGTCACCATGATGGTCATAATAGTGGTGCCCACTCCATGGACAATCCCGGAAACTTCAGTCCAAAGAGGGAGGTCTTGCTCAAGCTCCCAGACAGTCCCCGGCAGAGTGGAGGCTAGGAGAAGGAATGAGGAAGGGCCAACAGAGGGAAAGGAGGGGTGCCCATTGGCAGGGCTGACCAGATCTAAAAGCCCAGGCCTCTAAAAAGAAAGAGATGGGGTTGGGGCTGTAGCTCAGTGGCAAAGCACTTGCCTTGTACATGGGCGGCACTGGGTTCAATCCTCAGCACCACATAAAAAAAAAAAAAACACACAAATAAAATAAAGGCATGCTGTCCATCTACAACTATCAAAAAAGTTTAAAAGTGGGAAGTGGCCTCTGGGAACCGTGGGTACCCAGTGAGGTCCACCCCTCTGGAGGCTGGAGGGTTCACTGCACCAGCCTTCTGCTGCCCCCTGAGGGTTCTGTGAGGATCTGCAGCCCCAGCCTTGGCTGGGAGGCAGAAAGCAGAAGAGCCCCGTGTACAGGAAGCCCATCAGGAGGTCTCCGCCTACCACATGGCCAGCCTGGGGCTTCCCACTACCTCCCTCATCCCCTAAGGATTCTCTGGTGTTGTGGGCCCACATACCAGGAGCCCAGCTGAGAAGCAGGAAGCAGAGTCCTCCCTCAAGGCCCTGCAGAGACCACTGCCCACAGCTCTGCCCAGGGAGCAGGTAGCAAACAATGACCCCACAAGACCCCTGGCGATCCCCTTACCCCCTGCCCAACAGCCAGCCTTGCACACCCGGGGGTGGACACACAGGGCTTGGGGGAAGTGAATGCACTTGTGGACACAAGAAGGGCAGAAGCCACAGGGTTCCAGGGAAGGCTTAGGGCTGACCAGAGGGGCTGACCTCTAGGACCAAAATCACCACCCACATTACATCACACACTGACACTCCCCCCAGCTCTGGAGTCAACTGCTAGGCTCCCTCTTAGGTGGCCCTGCAGCCCAGGGACACACAGACTCAACCACAGGACAACCAGATCCCCAGCAGTGCCCACGCAGTCAGCTCCCCTCCTTGAAGACCAAGAACAGGAACTGCCAGCTGAGTGGGGAGCCCAGGGCAGTCTCCCCACAGCCTGACTCCAGAGCAGGGTACCCAGAGCCAGGCAATCCTGAGCCCCAGCTTTCCAGCACCCCAAGTGGCAGAAACTGGAAGGGCAACAGTTATGGACAGGGTGCCCCAAGAGGTGCCAGAGGGTCTGGGGAAAAGGGAGGAAAAAAGGGACCTGGTCCGAGCTCCAGTACTGAGCCCAGCATTCAGGATGCCACTCCAGTGTGCCGCACCTGCACTGCTCTCCCTTCTCCAAGACCCTGCACACAACACCCACATTAGCAGATGAGGCCCATCTGACATGAAACCCGAAACCCAACCAAGGGCCCCAGGGCAGTCCAGCAAGGACTGGGCTCACTTCCGCGCCAAGTTGGATTCAGACAGTGGCATGTCACCTGTCCACAGCAGGGCCCAGGGTAGGGACACCGTGCCTCCCTGGCCCAGTGCCCAGCCCCTCACCACAAGGGTCCCATCCTCCACAGTGTGGGGATGTCTCTCCCAGAGCCTGAAAGCCAGCAGGCCAGGCCTCTGGGCCTGGTGTGGAAGACCAAGAGGCATCCCCCGCGCTGCCCACCATGCACTGCCCAGCCATGACCTACCTTGGCTCACCACGGGAAAGAGACCAGTGGACTGGTGAACGGTCAGCACAGCCAGCGCAGGGTTGAGCTCTGCAGGAGAGAGGGCAGAATGCAGGCCACACTACAAGTGGTTTCCCCTGCAGGTGCCCAAGGCCATGAGGGAGGTGTGGGCAGAGAGGGGGTGCACAGCCAGACTCCAGGCAGGCCTCTGACCAGTGGCCCAAACCAGGGCAGCTTTCCAACAGGGACTGCTCTTCAAGTTCGCCCACCCCAGCCTCCCAGACGCTCAAGCAGGATCACAGACTGGCCCACAAATAACGCACGGGCAGGAACACACGTGCTCAGAGACATGCAGAGGCACACGGCCAGGACATGCATGTGGGGACATGCAGTGGGGTCCACCCCACGGCCAGTGCCCAGAGAGCTGCCTGCATCTTCTACTGCCCACCAGGTGTACCCATTCCCCACCCCTCTTCAGCTCTCAGCAGACTGATACCCACACTCAGGAAGGGGCCTGCTCAGCCAGCTATGCCCCATGAAGCTCATCCATCTGCCATCAGGGTCCCCAGACCCTTGGCTACGTGGGAGGAGGTAGGGTGGGAAACTCTGGGGGGTGAGCCACAGAAGACCACGGTACCTACCTGTCCAGAACACATCCTACTCAAAGAGGACCTCCCCAAACTCCAAAGAGAGGTTGCCCACAGCAGCCCAGGGCAGGCAGCAGAGCCACCCTCTCTGAGACCCTCAGTGGGGAGTAGTACAGGCTGGGCTCGGGGGCTCAGAGCCCGGCTCTCCACACACAGCCCAGCTGGCCCGGGTAGACAGCAAAGCAGGAGGCGGGGAGGGCTGTGCCAACATAAACAGGCTGTGGTGTGGCCTCCTCAGCAGCTGCAGCCATGGCCTGGCTGGGCCCAGGGCTGCCCCAGGCAGAGGCACTGCAGACACCTGGCCAGGCAGGGTGACACCCCACACAGTCAAGCAGGGACCAGAAGGTGCACACAGCCCAAGTAGGACCATCTCCCTCCCAGCCTAATCTGAGCTCCTGGAGACTGGACACACCCCTCATACTTCCCCACCCACTTCAGGGAGGGACAGAGATCAGGGATGGGGTGGGAAGTATCTCAGTGGTCACCAAAAGGGCCCCAGTCTCTCCTCCCAGAACACCGGAGCTCAGCACCTTCCCCTGCTCCCTCCCCTTCGCCCTGAGGTGTCTCTCTATTGGAGGTCACATGGGAATGGGGGTAGAGGAGACACAATTAAACCTTTGGGGTGCCCATGTCTGAACAAAGCTAAGCCAACCCAGGCCAGGTGCCCCCATGCCATGCACTCCTACAGAACAGTCTCTAGCATATCCTTCTTGGGCACCTGGGATGGATGACAGTGATGTTCCCAAATGCTCCCAGCCAGGTATGTGTCCAAAGGGTCATTGGGTTAAGCCAACTAGTCACCACCACTACTGCACACCCCCACTTGCCAGGACCCCCATAACTGTAAGGAGGCACTTGGATAGCAGACACTGGAACCTTCAGCACACAGCTAGCAACCAGAGGGACAGGGTGTGTGCAATGCCAGCAAGGTATCCAAGTAATCAGGCTTGTGACCCGTTCAGCATACTCCCCACCGAGCACACCCACAACACCCATCTGTCCCCGATGGGCTGAGCCAGAAGGCACAGATATGGAGGGTGAGGCTGGGGTCCCCAGGAGAGAGTCACCATTGCCATTCTTGGATGACAGCTTCTGGTCCCATCAGAGCTTTACAGATGGGGAAACTGAGACTGTGATCCAGGGCCAGAGGCACAGCCAGCTCAATTCCAGCCCAGTGCTCTGCTCCCTGGCCTCCACCACCCTCCCACCTGTAGCTGACCTGTTTCCAGGGCAAGGCCCAGGGTGGGGAGGGGCTCAGCAGCCAGAACTTCAATCACAGTTTTCCCTTGTTCCCTGCTCAGAAGTGACCCCTCCTCTGGCAGGAACCATGCCAAGCAGGATGCAAACCACACATCCTGGTGCCTGGACCCCACACAGAAGCATAACCACCTCCTGCTCCTGGCACCACTGTGCACCCTTCTGGAAGCCTGGGTGCCACCTACTTCTCACCAGGGGAGAGGGATTTTTTGAGCTGGCCAGCTGGCAGGCACTATAACCTGTGCCTCTGTGTGTGCCTGAGCTGGCCCAGGTCCCAGCCTACTTCTGCCCCCAAATGCACACGGAGGGACACATCAACCAGGTTGGAGGCACGGAGCAGGGCTGACTTCTGAACTCTCCAAGGTCCTCAGGTCTAGCCTGATTCAGAGCTCAGGACAGGCCTGAGACACAGAGCCAGGGAGGGGCAAGTGCCCAGGGACAGGCATATGGGCTGAAAGGGGGCAGCCTCAGGGTTCTCTGGTCCAGGTCCTCCCCTAGAAAGTCAGAGCTGGAGGGAGGAGGTAGAGGGTAGGAGAGAGGAGGATGCCACTGCCCCAAAAAGCAGCACCCCCCAACCACGGCCCCAAGCATGCATGCACGTGGAATTCAGGGAATGTCAAGTTGGCTCAGGCCTCTCTCCCAAGTCTCTCCCAGAGTAAACAACTTTTCCAGGCAAGAGCAGGGGTGGGACAGGCCATCCCTCCTCCAGGAAGCCTTTGGCCCACACCCATCCCCAGGGTCCCCCTACTGACATCCTGGACCCCATTCCCTGCCTCCCTCACCTCCAGTAAATAGCAGCTTCTGCAGCTGAGCATGGGCCAGACCCCAGGCCGCTGTGACTCAGGGCGGCTGTGCTGCCCTTATGGCCAGGGCAGGATGTTCTGTCCACTCAGCCTGGAAAGAGGGGGCAGGAAAGGGAAGTAAGTAGCCAGAGCTCGTGGCTCTGCACGTGGCCCTGTGGGGGACGGGAAAATCAGCTGCGGAGGTTGTCCAGAGTAAGGGCGTTGGTATAAAATCTAACGGGCAGCGGCTGTGTTCCACTCCCGACCCAGGAGACCCTCCATAGCCCTCCCCTACAACGAAGGCCAGAGTCCAACATTTGCCCCAGAGGGCAGTTGGCAGATGCCTGGGACTCCACAGAGCGCCTCCAAATCCCCACCCCCAGATCCCAAAGCGCACCTCCTCCATCAAACCTCCCTGCCCCCTCTACCCTGTCCCTCCCACCTCTCAGGCAGTCCCATCACAGCAAGAAGGTGCTGAGTCCAGGCTCGCCCCACCCCATCAATGTCCTCGAAGTCCTCAGTGGCCCGCAGGTCCTGCAGCCACAACCCCGGGGTCTGAGTCGTGTGGAGGAGGCTCAGCTCAGAGCGCACCCGCTCCACGACGCCCTCCCTGACCACTTCCCCCGCCCCCTGCTCAGAGGCGCTCGCGGGCGTCCAGTGTTCACCAAGCCCGCCGTCCCGCTCCCCTCTCGGGCAGGGAAGGGTGTGCGGCGAGGAACTGCCTGCCGCCGTCCGACCCAGTCGCCGGGCAGCCGGCGGACCTGCGACGGCATGGGTTGGGGACGTGCAAACTCCGCCGCAGGCGCCTCGGGGCGCTGCGGCAGGACCCAAGTGAGGACGCTGCGTGGCGGGGCCGCGCGCCGTCGGGCAACCCCTGTCGGGCCGGCCACTGGTCGTGACCCACGCGTGGGGCTGGACTCGCACTCCCGGGTGAGCTCGAGCACGCGGGACCCGGCCTGCAGCCGGCGCCGTACCTGAGCGCGCGGTCTCCCGCTCGACGCCGCTCCCGCCGAGCAGCTGTCAGTCATGCGGGCACGAGAAACGCGAACCGCCCTCGCCGCAGCCTTTACGGCCGCACTGGGACGCCGTAGCGCCGGAATGTACCACTGTGGCGTGCGGGGACGCCACGTGCTACTGCTTCGGACGCGCGGGCCCCAGAAGCCGCTAGCGCGCGGGGATAACTTGTCGCAGCTGGGACGCGGACGGTGGCGGAGAGCGCCAGGGCCGTGGGGGCGGGCGAAGGCTCGGGGCGGGGCGGGCCCCCGTGCAGTGGACGCGCCCGGGGCGGGACCTGCAGGACCGCCGCGCCGCCCGCCCGCCAGCCGCCGCCATGATCATCCCCGTGCGCTGCTTCACCTGCGGCAAGATCGTGGGCAACAAGTGGGAGGCCTACCTGGGACTGCTGCAGGCCGAATACACCGAGGGGTGAGGCGCGGGGCGCCCGGGGAGAGCGGGGCGGGGGGCGGCGACCGGGGGAGAGCGGGGCGGTGTGGCCGGCGACCCGGGGAGAGCGGGGGGCGGTGTGGCC